TTTTCCTCGATGGCGTTATCGTGCTCATCACTACTCGACTCCGGCATGGTCGCTGCGAATCTTGTCTCTCGCTTGCTCCTCATCATCTTACTACGGCACGATACCGGACCCTGATCCATCGGAGGGGCGAAAAACCATGAGAGCAGAGCGTAGCATCAGGTATCTCATACCGTAAGGCAGAGAAGGTCCAAGCAAGAGCCGATACAACACGACCATATACAAATACTCTATTGATATAGACTGTATTATGACTGCGTGTAAGCGATTATCATTGACTGACACAACGCCGATGTCTGTGTAACAGATGCAGCACACGACCTGTGTCAGTCAATGCGCAACTGCAGAGGCTCGCAGTTATCCCAGGATGGAGAATGAGACAAAGTCAGCAAAGTGCGAGAGGGCAGAGAATGACGCTGGAAAGGAGATCCTCGTCGCCGTGACCCGCGTGGGCTTAGCATCTCACGCACTATGGCATCTGCTCCTCAGGTGCCCCACGCATAAAGGGGACAATCCTCAAGAACTCTCCGAAAACAGAGGCGTTGACGAGGGACGAGGGTTCACCATCATCATGTATCACCTGTAGTATCTGCTCTAATTCGCTCCCTCTTATACGCCTGCATTCGCCACCACCCGACCTGAACCCTCGCCGTCGTCATTCCCCCCGGGCCCTGGCCAGAGTTATGTACGCAAACGGTACGTGAAGGGGCTGGATGCACGGCTTATGTTCGCTACCGGTCTTTTGCCCAAGCCATTGAGAGGCGTGAGGAATGGCTGTATGAGGGCAAATTGCCAATTGCCAAAATGCATATCTCCCTAAACGAAGGAGAGCAATGGAGGAAAGGATCTCTCTTCCTTGTCCCGGCAAAAGGAAAGCAGAGAAAGCCATTACCTGACTGATTTGTGTTTTATCCAAAGCCCTTTTCTCCATCAGGGCGCTCGGCAGAACCACACTGCTGGGAAGTCAGAGGACTCATGCTGACCACCTCTGGCTGACGAGCAAAGATTCCCCATCACGCACATAATCACACTTCCCACAATACGACCCTAGGCCTGCTGGCTCTTCTTCTGCCTGCCTCTTTCGTCCCTCTCTACCCATCACACACAAGCCGATATCGTAACCCTCTCTCTTCTCACGTTCATTTTTCTTTCTTTCTTGGGCTCTCTCCAGATTAAACCTAACCATACCCCCTTCCTCGGGACTCGGTCTGGCCCTGGCCTTATTTTCGACTGGCACCATCCGGCATAACATGCTTGTTTAAGCTCTGGGATTGTACCTGCGCTCCCTATCCGCTCCTGGCGCACGCGAACATGTTCTACAGATAACGACGCTGCAGCTTGCATATACACACTCACACGCTTAATTCGCTCCCTCAAGCCCCCCGGACTTCTTTTCTTCAACTTCCCTTAACGACCCTGTCTCAATATCCCCGCTCAATATATCTCTCTGCCCCCCGAGACAGATCCTTATTCTCCGAACCGAAAAAGACCAGCAGTCACAGAAGGGAAAGAAAATATCTCAACTATTGTCTTTCTTCTTCTCCCTCGTGATCTGCCATTCCCTCCTTCATTTTCGACAACGCTTTTACGCAATTTACCTCTCCTACCTTTTTTAGCTTCCCGTAGTTAGATGGGAAAGACACAATGGCTGTCGTCCCTCCCGCTCAGCTTATAACAGCTACCGACAAGGCTGGCCTGATCGTCGTCATCACCACCTTTTTCCTCTCTTGCATCTGGCTGGCGCTCTGTGTCCGACTGTACGTTCGCGTGAGGGTCAATGGTCCGTGGAAGTTGGACGACTATTGTGTCGCAGCGGCTACGGTAAATGCAACCATCTCTTATCTGTACCACTTTTGCAAAATATAAAAAATATAAAAAAAGCAAAAACAAATATAAGTGTAGGAAGCTAATACAATTGATTGCAGGTATTATCGACTATCCGTTCAATTCTTGTGTACGTTGGTGTCAACAAAGGCTACGGCAAATCCGCAACTCTCCTCCATGGAGATGACTTTGTACGGATAGGAAGGGTAAGACAAGACAGATGATACCCCTCCTCATCCCAATCCTTCAATCTGCGCAACCACAAGGAAATATACCTTACTGATGAATGTTTCCCTTCTAGATTATCTTCGGAGATACCATCCTCTTCTTCCTTGCCCTCATGGTCTCCAAATGGAGCATTGTCTTGCTCTGCATGCGACTTAGCCCCGCAAAGGCGCATTCTCGTGTCCTCTGGGGAACCTTCATTGCTGCGGCTGCTTGGGCTTTGGCTTCCATCCTATTGATCAGTATAAACTGCAACTCTTCTCATGCTCTAACTAACCTCGCTGGAACCTGTCCCTCTCTCGTTAGTCATCCTCCTCTACTCAAAACTCTAGGAATTGCGCATACTTACATTCACCTCCAGGCCGCACGATGGAAAGTAAGCGTCGCATTGGACATGATCACCGAAGCTGCTCTGTTTGGCTGTTGTATGTACCTGGTCGTTGGCCTTAAGATGTCGTGGAGTCTCAAGACTGTTGTGGTCGTCGCCTTTAGTATTCGACTTCCGTGAGTACTTCCTACAAAGCCCCGCGCGTTGTGAGACCCTTTGGCACTGACTCCCTTTCCTCCAGAACTATCATATTTGCTGGTCTCCGCTTAGACGCCGTCGATAATCAAGTTGCTTCTTCCGATCCCACGCTCCTCGGAGCCTATACTGCCTCTTGGATGCAGATCGAGCTCGACTACAGCATCATGGCCGCTACGCTCTCCTGTCTCGGCGCCTTCCTCAAACCCTTCAGTCAGGAGATGGGACCCTCACGATCCGATACCCAACGGAGTTACCAACTCAGTAATATGTCGAACAGTGCAGCTGCCCGCTCAAGAAGGAGAGGGAGCAGACCCGATATGCCAGTGTTAAGGAAGGACGCAATGCTATCTAACACGGCGACCGTCTCGCATACCAACAAATCCGCTGATGATACCCAGAGTCTGGAGAGCAATGACAGTCGGAAGGGGATCATCATGAAGCAGGTGCAGTGGACGGTGGAGAGAGATAGTTCGATAGCGAATACGGATCCTATGGGGTCTAGGACTCCGCCGATTTGAGATATGATTTTAAAGAAATACGTTTCTGGTCGCATCCGTTTTTCCTCCGTTTCATTTGTTTGGCTCCTCGTGTCTCCCCCATGAATCTCAAATATATCTCTGTGTGAGCGTGTACGAATTTCTACTGTATCTTATTAGAGGGTGGCATTTTTTTGCTTAGCCTTGGCCATGAAAAATTAGAAAAGCGATATGTATGATACTATATATATATATACCATGATGGGTATTTACTGGATGCTTTTTGACGGGAATGTTTGTTTGGTATTATCTTTTAGGAAAGATTAGGTAGAGCGATTTGAAGCATCTATACTCAAGCAGTCCAAGGGGCTGTGTTAGTTATGACTATAATTCCATTTGAATTTCCATGTTTCGCCATCTCAGATATATTTTTCAATGATGAATATACCCCCCTTTAAGCGCACTTCTGTAGGCGTACAAGATGTATCTCAGGACTCCCATGACACAACGCCATAGACTCAAGAAATCTGAAAGATCAAATATCTTCTACCAGACTACCACACCCATCGCTCAGATTCACCACTCTAACCATCTGCATACTCAACGCACCAACGCTCGAATCCTGCCCAGCAAATCACCCACCTCCGATTCGCCAACCAACCAGACAAGTAGCGCGTGCTCAACTGGCTCCCGTAGCTAAAAAATGTAATGGAGGTGCGGAACGGGAAGGGCAAATGCAGGTACGAGGGGAAAAGGAAAAAAAGAGTTATCAAGGAGACCGTTGCTAGATCCCGTTCGTGCATATTAATGTCGTTTTATGAGATATGATGACACTGCGGTACGTTGCTTTTTCGCCTCTTCTTTTCTTTTGGGATTTATGCCTTTGTGCGGGATTGTCTGCATAGTGTTGGACTGTTGCATGGAGGTTATGCTTTTTGGGAGGGTGTCTTGCCTTTCTTTTTTCCGTTACAGTTTTTCTTTTGAACTTTTTGGGGGTTATGAAATGATCACGTGTATTAGAAAAAGAAATAACTTCTGAGCGGGGTTCGTTCAATTAGCAGAGGAGTATTCGAGTTATGGATGAATTAGCTCTAGGATTTTTCTATTTATTTGTTATATTTGAAAAAAATGGAATTATTCTGAGTCCAAGACTCAGGCTTTTTCGTCGTCAAGTGATTGACTACGTCATCTATTCACACACGTTGATTGATGAGCTCAGTAGATGAAGGAAGCATTATTAATCTGTTATATATGAGAATAGCTGGTTCATATAGATTCATTCAAGAGAAGATAACTGAGAAGAGAGGAAGTTGTACATTCTATTGTGATACAGTCTGGCTCACTTGATCCTGTTTGGTTCATCCATAAATACAATATAACTACAGAGTAATTCTTCTATACTTTAATACGGTTTAGGGAGACTTTTTCGGTGGAAATTCTCATCACGGTATAAACAAGTCAAATTTTGGGAGTAAAGCTACAAATGATATAATCCACCTCATATCCTATTTTCTTGGGGAAAACTTAGTCTAACAAAATGCAGTCAGTACATTTCTTATATCTCTCATCTACCACATGAGATAATTTGATATGCTCCTCCTAGATTCTTTATACTTCTCTTAAGTACTATTAGCTGAAGATCTGAAAGCATCATCTCTTGTTTGAGTTGATATTCTAGGAAAGCATTTAGGCCGAGTATAGGCAAGATATTCAGAGCTCTACGGTATACTACTTCCACGGCAAAATTTTGAAAACTATTAACTACCCGCAGCTATGAGTTTTATGGCAATTTATTCAATTGCCCAACTGTAGTTGTACGTTATTTCTGCAAGCTGGTATCATAACTCATCCACCATTCAAAAATGTTGTAGTAACGTCAACCTTATCCTGATTCAGACACGAATGCAAAAAATTCACCAGAAGATGAAAATTCCAAGTCAACGACAAAATACAGGTCGTACTGGGGATCGAACCCAGGTCACGAGAAAGCTCCGAGCATTGATCAGAATCTCATGTGCTACCACTACACCATACAACCAATTCTGATTGGACGTTACTAAATTGTCGAAAATTCGCAGACTGCATCTCCTTTATTATTCATCTAAACCTACTTGAATTGTTCCTGCATTTCATATTCCGTTATGGCACGAGCCATGAAAAAACCAAAGTCTGGGGGAGGGTAGCTTAGCTGCAATGAGTTCACGAAATATGTTTCACAATTGTGGATCGGCTTGGAAGAAACTCTAGGCTAAATCTAGTCAAATCTCTATTCATGTCCCAGGTGCTGTGTGCGATCTATCTACTACCAAATACAGTTTGTCGTCCAAATCTAGCTAGTAATGAGAATATTTTAGGAATTTTTCTGCTTCTCGATGCAGAACCAGTCACCATTTGGCGTAAAACGGGAAAGTTCTAGATTTCATGTCAGCACCTTCATCGTCCCAAACAGATGTAGGATAGGGATAAGAGGCGGCCAAACGATGCCGTAGAGAGAGATGCGAAAACACTCACAGGAGTTCCAAACCCAGTAACCGGATCCCATCCCTCCGTAGCCGGGAACCCGTCTACTTGACACCCTGCAGCAGACCCATTCGTAACGTCTGTAAAGCCCTGAAACCCTTGAGCATAGATCCATGGATTCAGGAACCCAAGAGTTGGTTGCCCAGTTGACAGTAGAACGTCATTAATAAGTGCTATGATACCGGACATTAACGGTGTGGCGGCACTGGTTCCACTAATTGCTCCAAAAGTACCGTTCCAGACAAATGCAAAGTTCTGGCCCTGAGCTGCAATATCAGGGTATGCTCGTCCGGCTTTTCATGTCAAAAGTTAGCAAAGAGGCCAATAGAATTACCAACTATGCATTCTCGGCGTCACTGTATGGAGTAAATTATATAGAGCATTAAGTAACGCACATTTGTTGTATAGTCCATCATATTTCCCTTGCAGAGCTGTAATGTAATCTTGAACCACTGCATTCTGATAACTAGGTCGGGTAAAGTAGTTGCTGAATCCTCCGCCACTGGCATAGAGTTGTTGGAATACTCCGTTCTTGTCTACTTCTCCGGGTCGAAATGCCGCTACTTCTGGCTTAAACTGGTGAGTGGCGCCCACTGCCGTGACATATGGGCAACTCGCAGGAAATGAGGGAACAAACATGGTTGTATTCTTCCCGTCATTACTAATGCAGGTTCCGTTCGTTCCTACACCAGCATCTCCGCTTGCAAAGAGAAGAGATACGCCTCTGGCTCCTAGTTGTGCTAGGCTGTTGCACACACGAATGGCGTAAGATTTGGGAACTGTTTGTTCATCGTCCCCGTATGAAGTGGAGATCACGCGCGGAAGGGAGGTCTGATTCAACATAAAGTTCAACCAATCCAGATATGGCTCGTTGGTGTTGTTGGGCGTTCGGAGGTCTGGGATGTAGGTTGGTGAACCACCAGTCGAGTATGAGGTGATGTTAATGGGCCAAGCTATACCAAGAAGGGTTTGGATATCAAGGTTTGCTTCTTTTGACGTTTGGTTCTTGATTTGCACAGCTGTCAATGGCCCATCCTGCGCGGGGCCATTGGCAATGGAGATTTGCGGGAAGAGGCTTGCTCCAGATACTGCGTCTGATCGATATTTGGTTAAGAACATCTCTGTATCGGGTCGAATTGGAACCTCGCCCAGGAAGTTGTTGAAGGCTATACTATTGTTATCTAATGCCTTTGGAACGTATCCTTCAGTTCCGTATAGATGCATGAAGCACTGTGGTGTAACAGAGTTAATATCACAGAACTTTGAGATATTATCATCTGTTGAAGTCGTAAAATCCTCCGATACCCAAGGCATAAGCTCGACGTATTGAACTCTCAAAGGATTTGTGCGGAAGAACGAGGTGGTTGGTTGGATGGTATCAATGTGAGAATGGAGATGCGATGGTAAGGACCATTGCGGAGTCCGAATTAAATGGGTGCCATCTTCATGTGTATAAGAGTAGTACTCTGTATTCAACAATCGTTCTGCCTTGTCTATAGGAAGGGAAACGTGGATCCAGTCCCTTGCAGGGCTATGACTAAATTCCTGGATTCCATGATGAAGTAACCATTCCTCAATTAGATTCAGAGCTTCATCTGTTGGTCTGACCAGCTCATTTACTTCATCTGCCGTGAGATGTTGGCCGTATCTATGGTGACTTGGATGAGATACTACCTCGAAATGTAAGTTCCCTAACTTAGAATCGATATGAAAAGTAGAATATAAGAGTTCGAGGTACCTTCATAAAGATGACGCTCTAGTTCACTGAAATTTGCTTGTTTCACACCAATATTCAAATCCAATAAGTAGTGTTCTGGAGCTCGATCGCCTCTCCTCCAACCTCTCGGGATATGATGAGTTTCCTTCAGCACATAGTCACTACGTACCTGGGAAATTGAGCTAACAACCTCTGGTGCAACTGTCGCGATAGACAGGAGTAACGATCTTAGGGAAACCATGGCGCAAACTGCTTCCAGCGCATTTAACCTTAATGTAATCCAAAAAGGAAATCATGAGAATCGCAACTCCTCAGCGTCCTGCACTTTGGAGTGGATGAGAGAAGGCAAGGGCCTTGGCGATGCTGTTGAATGGTTAAAGTCCATGCAAAAGCACTGACGCGTCCACCAAAACAGCCAAATCTAACGGCGATCAAACCAAACATGTACAGTTGAAGAATGCCCCTCCGTCGTAACTACAATATATAACAATAATGAGTAGTCCAAAGTATTTAAATCTAGATCTAAGCTAGGTCTAGTTCAGGCTGGGAGGTTGGAGGTAGAGAAAGGTCTATTCCAGATTCTGCGACATGCTGACTCCTGGATCTGAAGCCTTCCCAGATTAGGCAGGCCGCCTGAAGCATGAAGCGCGTACCCGCCAACTCTAACACATCTGTGACCGTCTCGCACATGCCTTCTAGTAATCGGCAGTATATGAGCTTCGAACTTCCTTAGCTACTCTATAATTCATGCCTTTGGATGCTCCCTCGAAGAAACAGATGTTTTACTCGGCACTAACATCCCAACTCATCACGACTACCTATCATGAGGACAAGTATTGACCAAAAAATCCAAACGTAAAGAGCAATGTCATGTTTTGAGAGAACAGCTAGCAATGCTCTCATATTACCGTATTATATAGAATAATACTTCGTTGTCGTCATATAGTTGGTGATGTACTCCTATGTTAGCTATTCTCGCGTCATGCTATATCGCTAACGTTACTGTATTATCCTGTTTTATCAGTCAATCGATCCTAAGCTTAAATTATTATGCTGGCAGCTGGAGCTATTGCTTTTTATGTTGTTGACACTTATAAACTTACAAGCAACCGCTTTTATTGACGCAAAAGAGTTATCTGGGCAAGTCTAGCAAAAGTAGAACTATCGACTCTACATCTATGCGCCTTCTTCTATAGCAACATTGCTTCTCTGACCCATGACTGCCAGTTGATTGACACAAAGAATTTAAAAAAAAATCTTAAAAGAATTGAACATACAACAGAGGGGATTCGCTGGTCGTCACCGACCCAACTACTAGACCTCCGATTTGAGGCTTATGTATGGTAGAGCGGACGGGATGCCCAGTTTTCCTCAATCTATGGTCGTATGTGAAAGTATCATTCATGAAGCATATTTATAAGGGCATATCATATAAAACTTGACTTGAATCATCCATTCGGTATATTAGAAGTAGTGATGGGCTAATAATAGAGTAGAAGCAAGCTTCTACTCATTTTCTCTACTAGTTCTTCTCTCCAAAAGAAGTCTACATCAGGTAAAGATGAATTAACTTCACAAATCACTCTATCATCGTGAATATAAAATCCATCCGCTAGTTGAGTGTCCCGAGATGTCCGTCAGATTCATGCCCTTCTGGAAGCGATGAGCAAGGAATCTCCGTCTGTCTCACGGTGAGGCGAATCTTGAATTCTGTAAAAATGGGGCCGTCTGTCCTCTTCAATGTTACGACGTAGACTATGAAATGTTTCGAGTTCATAACAAAATGAAAATGATCTGCAATCCAGTCGGAGGGGTTAATGAAGTTAAAGTGACCTCCGATCTTTCCGCGAGAAGCATCTGAATTAAATATGCGTATTTGCTCCTCTACTATAAATCTCCAGAGTGCATCATTGATTTCCATTTGCTTGAAAAAGAATTGAACAGAGAGTGGTACGAAGAGCTTCACTCGTCCATTAGGGATAACCTCAAACCAATAGACGGCTTTTAATGCTAATTTAATATTACCAACAGTGAAGGCGAGGAAGAGTACTTTGTTTTCTTCGGGTATGCCTTGTCTATCATGTTTCACATCAATTGTATTTCCATACATAGGGTTCCAGCTCTGCGGATAAGACTCTTCGACTTCGACCGGGAGGGGTAGGAGATGTACGCTTGCATCATTATCAAGGCGTAGCCCACAGTTGCAGCCAAGGCGAAGTATGCGAAAATACCTTGGGTTGGTATAAATTTGTTGAGGTTGGATATGCTCAAATATCGTTACAGGCACGCACATCGGAGCGGGCCCGTGAGATCTACAGAAGACATTCTCATCAACCTGCATCAAGGGGATCGCTATGCAGGTAGCATCGTCAGCCGTGCAATTGATACAACCCAAAAAATCTCCTGATTCAAGCTCTAGCAAAGGGGGCTCAATAAGAAGGCCTTTATTAGTTATAGAATAATGGCTAGATTGGAAAATTTCATATTCTCTAATCTTGCCACATTTACGGAAATCTGCCACTCCAGTTGCGAATACTTCTGTTACGAGTGCTTCTCTTGGAAGACCCGGCGGCAGGGCGGCATTGGTGATCTTCGTCAGCCCATAGTCCCAGGAAAATATAGACTGGTCATCGCTGGCTTTTAGGATTTCTTCTTGTAGCCTTGTAAAAGCCCTTCTCCCCTCGCCGTATAATAGAGGCATGTTGACACCAAAGATACCCAGTAAACAGTACGCTTCATCTTCTACTCGAGTAGTTTCCCTCCTGCTTGCCCAACTCATCCGTTGAGCAATGCTAGTACGG